TGGCCTTCTTTATTACAAACTTTATTTTGAAACAGAGATGTGAACCGGATCCTTTCGGAGAAGCAGCATGGTTTTAGAAATAGGTTATTCTCGTCTCGCTAACTTATCAGTAACTCGTGAAAGCTAGTGCGCTCTTAATGACCAAACGTTATCTGTAGACGTAGCCTACATTGAATTCAGCAAAGCTTTCGACAAAGTTCCGGACAACCGAGTGCTATATAAGCCAAAAAATGTCAAGATTGGAGGCAATCTATTGATGTGGCTAAAAGACTTCCTAGTTGGGCGCCAACAAAGAGTACGGGTAAACTCAAAGTTATCTAGCTGGGAAACTGCTTAGTGGAATGCCTCAGGGTTCAGTCTTGGGGCCAGTGTTATTCCTCTTGTATGTAAATGACCTTCCTAGCCTAATATCATCATCGGTCATGCTATATGCTGACGATGTCAAGATATGGAGAGCGATAAGAAGTAAAGGTGATAGCTTTGAACTCCAAAATGACCTGGAGAAATTATCTGAACGGTCTCAAACCTGGCAGTTGCCGATAAATACTTCCAAGTGTATTGTGATGCATATCGGTCATCAAAATACAGATACATACACGATAAATAAAACTGAGCTGCCTGGTGTCCAGATATACAATGACTTAGGAGTCATCGTTAGCCAAAACTCGAAGATACTGCACACTGCCGTGCAACAGCCGCCAAAGGTTCTAGAACTTTATGTCATGTCGACGCTAAGACGTTTTTTGACTTTGTATACAGTGTTCGTACGTCCTAAGCCTGAGTACTGCATACAAGCTGCTAGCCCCTGCTTAAAAAAGACAGTAAACTTTTAAAAAAGGTTAAGAGAACAAAAACTAAGCAGACTACCGGGATAGCGGAGCTCCCGTATAATGCTCGACTAGCCAAGCTAAACCTATTCCCGCAGAACTAGAGGCGACTTGATTACAGTTTTCAAGTTGCTTAGTGATGAATTTTTACCCAATATGCCCTCATTATTTTGTCTGCCAAAACAGAGAATTTACGAGGACACTCCAAAAACTTTCACAAGCCCGGGAAAAATTACTTGTCAGCTGACTATCGACTTTCCCATCGGATCATCAACGAGTTGAATTCATTACCTCAGCACGTGATTGAGGCTGGATCCGTCGAGACTTTCAAAAGAAAGTTGGATCAACTGAGAGACTACCGTTGCTGTGACCAACACAGACCACCAAGCCTCTTATCCTTTCCAAACTGAGGCTGAAACTATATAAGTTGCTATCCTTCTTCGTTGGTAAGTCCTTGAGTATAAGTTCCTTTGAATAGGGTTAGGTAATTAGTTCAAGGACTAGGAGTTTCGGGATGAGCGCGAAATTCAGTAAGCGCTATTCTGTTAGTTTGTTGGTAACATATAGCTTCACTATGTTGACATTTATCTCAGGGTTAAAAGTTACAGGCTGTGATTTAGAAACAGCAATGAATTGCCTGGTATGAGCAACCGAAAAAGACAAAATCAAAAATTTGATAAGTTTGACGCTTGATTTTACTTTAAGAAAACAAAACACACTTTTTTGATGTCATTCAAAGTATGTTGAGTGATATGCGGGTCTATTTTTACATGACAGTTAGATTCATAGCCTTCATGCAATGCTGTTAGCCTTACCACATGTTGCTTGAGTATTTTAGCATAAATGGTCTTACTTAAACTGATTAACAAGATAAATTGTATTGTCACAAATCAATTTGGCTACGTAGACATGGTTTCAGTCATTCAGCTCTTATCATGGTCATAAACGTTTTAGTAATTATACGGGACTACATACAGTCAGCGTAGTATGGATACGTGTATCAAATACCACTTACAGGACGTTGAGGAATGTAACCAAGGGTACTTTTAATCAAAAGTGTTGCATCAACGACCAAAGGATGCCCTAACTCTCTGTAGGCTCGATTTGTGGGAGCGTATAAACCTTCGAGTTGTTTTTGACAGCATCTTCGTTGATAATTATTGTAACGTACCTTTGAAAAAAAGAAGAATATCGAAATAGACATACTTCAGATCTAGGAGGAGGTGTGAAGGAACAAATTTCAAAGTTTCTCGTTTGTACTTTTAAGGATCGATCCATTTGTATTGATGTTTGACTCGGTCGTTATCGTTACTGTTCAATGGTGTATTCAAACAAAACATAATATTAGATGCTATATATCATAAAAAAATGTCACATTTAAAATAGTTAAACGAGCGTTCCTAACGCTGGGGTATTCTATCTCCTTACTCTTCGTTTTCAGAGTTTTAAAGTAGACGTGGCACTGAAGAACGGATTTATGACCTCGCACTTCTGAGCCCCCTGGTAACAACTGAGGGACAGTAAGTTTCAACTTCAAGCTCTCATTTTGGGAAGATACTGGTGGAATGCCAATTCTTCTGATCTTTTCGATCAACAGTGCTAACATCAGTGTGATTGTTTACCCATAAAGGGAGAATGTTGTTTCGGAAGGGGTCTACATGAGCACATAAACTAATGGTAGAGTGTAAATTAGTTGAGCGTATTGATCACCTTAATTATCTAAGAAGTCTCATTTGCCCTGTTAGGTTTGTGTTGGTAGAATTCTTGGCACGAATTCAGAAACCTTGGAAGGCTTTTTACAACTTGCTATACTTGTCTAATTAACAAGATAACTGACTGCAACTAAAAACGAGTTTACCGAGCAGCAGCTCGCCCCGTCCTATTTTGCAGGTATGAAATATGCCAATCAAGAATGGCGGATGCTAGGAGTCTAATAATATTCTACGATAGGCGTCTTTTGACTATTGCTCATATGCTTTAGAACCATCATGTCAGCAATCCTGAGATTGGACACAAAGTTTCAGTTAATAATGTCACTCCGATCGATCACACGGAGAGTTTTACGCATGCCTACACACTAAATACCTTGGTGCGCGATGATGGCCATTATGGAAATTTTGTTAGGAAGTAGGTTGGGAAGGGTAAGCAAATATTATATCAGTACATGTGTAGTGACTCACATTTATCACGAGAACACGACTGGTTTAATAAAAACAATTATTATTATGACTAACTGTACCAGTGTTTGTTTTAATGTGCTTATGTTTGACTGTGCTAATGACAGCTATATTGTGCTTCCATTCTGATTCTTACACTTTGATTGTGATTTCGCGCGAATTCGGTTACGTTCTGTAACCAAGTTTGTATCCTGCCACGATCTCGGTATCCTTTCGATACCACGAGATCGCCAGCAAATATATCTCGATTTGGTCCATTAACTGCTTTCTAATATTTGGCTTCTCGGGGATTTTATGGATTTATTTTGGTTACGTTCAACCTACGCCTTCTGATCTACTTGGAACGTGTTTGTCTGTAGCGGTGTTCATAGTTAATCTCTACTCGACGCCACGCTACACATGTGATCGTTCATGCTTAGAAGGAGCAATTGAGTTAAGCTCAGGCTAACTAGTTTAAGTCCTCATGTTTAGCGCAACAAATGGTTTGAAACTTTGTTTGATCAAGCTCAAAATCGACCTCAATGAAGCAAGTACATTCACATTTTCTTTCTTTAGATCTTAAGTTTCAAAATGACCTTATAAGTTCTTTTCATTTCACTTATTCGTATTTTCGCCCTAAGTGATATCTTTTGTCTGATTAGTTACTAAATTTAATGTTCTCAAATTCGCCTCGCCAATCTTATCTCGCTCTGCTATTGGTATCAGGGAATATTATAAACATGTGCCAGGCACTATATTAATTATTTAATACTTACCGCCTTAGGGCCTTGATTTTCCATTACCTCTAAACCATTATGATAAAAGGGTATACTCAATGATATTTTTAATATTATCCTAATGACATCCGTGTTTATAACGAATATGAAGAGAGAAGAGTTGACAAGTATTAACTTTAATTTAAACCAACTTACAAGGATGCACAGATCAATTTGAAGTGCTCGTAACTTATTGTTTAATGCCACTTCTCGACAAATTTCTTTATTCTCAGAGTAAAGGAGTACTGAGACGTAACTGTAGGGACAAGTTCATTATCGGACGGCGTGCTCAACAAAGAATCAATAATGAAATCCTTCTGTTTCCACGAATTGCGGACAACGCTCGACTACAAGGTTAGTTTGTTCATAGAAAAGCGAGTTTATCTAAAGAGTTACAAGAGATATTGGGCTTACAGAAATTATAAGAACTATGCCCAACTGAAATTGAATTGAAACAGAGGTTAATAAGTGCAACATAAGTGAATAGCCAGTACCAGTGGTCCGGTTTCATATGGATCTTAGTGTGACAGTGTGTCATGATATTAGGACGACAGCCCGTTGCCGCGATGTTGCAGCTAATGAGTTTAAAACCCTGTGGGCTTTAAAAGGGACATTCAATAAGTTAGACACTACCATGTTCACTACAGTATACACAACCTTAGTGAGAACTAAGCTAGAGATCTGCGTTCAGGCTGGAATCCCTTGTTTAAAGAATGGGTCGGATGTCCCGGAAAAGTATAGAGGGCAGTTATCTGTGCAATTCCAGAACTCCGGAGTTTATCATACAAAAACCGGCCTGAAATGCTGGGCCTCTTTACTCTGTTCTATCGCAGATTAAGAGGTGATCAGATTTTGTTGCATAAAATACTATGAAATGATTTTGAACCGAATATACCCTGTACGTTTCTTTCCACTAGATCAAAACACCTCAGGGGACATAGAAGGAGAGTGGAAAAGCCGAGAACGAACAAGATACACATGGTATACTGATTTTCATACCAATACTTGGAATTTGTTACGCGAAGCAGTGATGTTCGCACCTTCAATTGAGTCATTCAAGAGATAACTGGACACTCACAGTAGCATACTAGAAAAGGAATAATATAGGCCGTAGGCCTTCTGTCTTATTAGGCAAATCTGAAATCTGGAATGCCCCCCTACAACTGGGTTCAAGGTCGTTGGCACCGAACGGCGGGTAACTTTGATTAGGTTGTACGCTTTTTCGTGCACTTATCATTAGAATGCCTTTATGCTGCGGTGGAATCGGAACACCTAGGGAGCCGTCTGCAGAGGAGAAAGAAAAACTTAAAACTCTGGTAAAGTTCTGTATATTCCGCTTAATATTCTCAGTTAGAAAGTAAGTTGGAGTCCCATATCGGACGAAAACCTCGTTCATTTGAAATCGTCCAGATCGCTAGTCAGGTAGTCGCAGGAACAAATCACTTCGTCAAGGTAACGTTTAGGACTTCCGTTTACCGAAGATTTGCAGGTGAAAATAGATGATGGCGACTATATTCACGCTCGAATTTTTGAACCACTACCCTGTCATGGCAAAGAACTTCAACTACACTCTGTCGTTAAAGATAAAAAGGAAAGTGATGCATTGGAATACTTCTGAAACTCGGTTCTCATACCCACCACTTGTTTGACTTATGTTCTTGTTTTTAATAATCTCTTAATATACTTTTGATGCTCATATCTATTATTTATGATATGATATGTACGGTTCTCTGTACTAGCATCCTACTGTATGTATGCTGGGAATGTAAATGTGTAACTGTTGACCTGTAGTCATATGATTGTAGATTGATTAATAGCTCTCGCGTATCCTTGTCGCTTGAGGCAAAAGACTGATATATATTCCGTTCCTTCTTATAGAAGCACTACTTGCAGCAACTAGCTAAATTTAACTGCGGCTTTTTCATGGCATGCAAATCAAGTATTCCCGGGTGTTTCTAAGGTACTGATAATCTTAAGAATTATATCTTGATGAAATTAATCTCAATGGTTGTTTGAAGACCATTTTGTATTTCATACTCAACAGGTTTAGATGAAGTACATCCTCATGAAGAATGTTTTACCTGTATACTCTACCAAATTAAATGACATGTTATAAATAATACTAGCTCGTTTGTCTGTATAACTGTTGAAATAGTAGGAAGTATCCGTGCCGCAACCGTTGTGTCCCAGCTAAGATAGATCACTATTGTTTAAAAGGCACTGTCTTGTTATGTAGTTGGAAGCAGTTGCTGTAAAGCAACGTAACCATGTTCCGTGTTAGTAAGCACTCGTCAAGCCAGCGTTTCTGCAATCTTGATTGAATGATACTTGTTTCCAAACGATATCCGTATAAAGTGTGAGTTTAGATTATAACTACACATTTGATTTATCTTTGAGCACTTGCTCTGTTTCGTATTCCAAATCGTCGTATCCCAAACGTTATGACAAGGGTGGGAATTATCCTAATAACTGTAGTATTTTTGTATTGGAAATATAATTCCCTCTTTTTTCATATAACTTGTCTGTAGAATGACTTAACGTGCGTGTGAATAGGTTGGATTGAGAGTGCGCGTGATCTCTACCACAAACAATGTCAAATAATGCCGAAATCACTAGCCGAGTATACATATGACTAGCTACTACCGTACTAGTACTCTGTAAATGAAATGAATATGAAATCGAATATACTCTACACCATTATTTGGCGTACAATTTCACGGCTGATAGTTTAACCTTACTACTGTTGTTCATTGAATTTGACACAATTATCATGGAATTAACCTTTACCAGCGATTGAGATGGTCATTATAAAAGATGATATGTTTCTGAAACGAGAATGCATGAGGTTTATTATACTTTTGAAATGATTTTAGTGAAATCTTCGGTAAACTATTCCACATTATGGAATTGTTGCGCGAATTTCTCCACATACTATATTTCTTTAGTAAAACGACTAAAGATATATTGCCGAATACAGAACAAAGTTTACAGACCCGAAAACGGAAAGGTGTTTATTCAGTTATTATTCGTCCGAGATCACACCATTCATAAGATCAATCGGTGGTTAAAAGCAGCTCTAAAAGCCCATTCCTCGCTGCGAAATCGGCTACTCTTGATTGCTACCAGGTCATTGAGCTTCATAATGCTTCACAAATTGTACAAAATTCAGGAAGAGCTGGCTCTTGAGAGGTAAACTGTCTTTCGTCCAGGTCCTGCATGCATCGACTACAGCTTCATCGTCCACCGAATCCTGGAACGCCACTACATTTGTCGCAGGCAAACAACCACTGTGATTTTTGGGTTCATAGCTGCCTTCAGTTGATTGGTTCTTTGCTATTTAATTGTCTATTGCGGAATGATGTTTTCTTGAGAATTTTATCAGCATTTTTGAGGTTGAGTACACAAACTGATGCCATGACCAAGTGGTTGGAACCAAACTTTGTGATAAATTATTGCTGGGTTTGAGATAAGGTATCAATGCTGATGGATGAGATTGACCTGCATATGATGATCTTTAGGACGTCTCGAGTCAACCTTTACTAAATTTAGTGCCGTTGTGATAAGTCTGATAGTAAAATATTTGGTCTAAAATGTGTCGTTGAGAGGAGTTCTACACTGTCCTTGTGAAAACCTACTATCTGAGCTGAATTTATTTGACCCCTGTTTGTATCCAATCATCGCAGACATCCAGTTATAACACTATGTTGTTAACACTGGGGCTTTGCAGTGTATTTCCAGGTTTGTAAAGGTAACTCAATTAGTGTCACCATCTTGTAACACCGAGTTTATTGGTTTGGACAGGTCTCACGATTGTCGTTTAAGGTAATTCAACAGCACACACTACTTACTGACGTTGAGAATGAATGTAAAAAGGAAGGCTTGGTCTCTTAATGGCAGTGTGCCGTGTTATTATTAATAGCTCCATAGGACTGGGACCTGTATGGTCATCACAACTTACTAGTTGGTGTCCTAGAGATGGTGCAACTCAGTGACTTGAGCTCTTGCCAGACGTAGTTCAGAACGGAAGCCAGTCGTGACCCTGCTGTGGCGCTATTTATGTTTTAGTTTTACAATCTTATTCTCCTTATTAGCATTTCATTCATGTGCGCATTCTTTGGGTGACCTATTGTATTGTGATTTGTGTCCTTTAAATAATTAAATAAGTATCTTTGACTTCTCAGATAAGCCATCTTCTTACAAATAAGTAATCATAAACATCCTTGTGTACTTATAATACACGGGATAATGATAAACTGTCAAAATCGATAAAGTGGGGTTAGAATTTATAGACTATAAGTTGAAAATCAAGTTTTCTAATAGTTACAAATGAAGTTCATTTATGTAATCAGATAACAGTATTCATTAAAATTTCTGAATAAATGATGTAGTTGAATGTGTACCACTTTTCTATCAGTTTAAAAACCTAAAATATGCAAGACTGAGCGTCAAACTGTTTTGATAAGCGATAAAATGAAATATAACGAGTTATATAATCACAAGATCAAAAGGCAAACAAGTAGAAAGATGAGATTAAAGTAACAGAGGTGATTTAAAGAGTAAACATTTATTGGTGCCTTAAAGTGTATCTTAATTTAGGCTTCACATGTCCAACAGAATAAAATACACTTAGAAAAAGTAAGATCAAAATCGGTCGGGGTTATGGACTTAAAACAAAGAAATGTTTCATCTTCACTTGCCTTCATTTTGCAAACAATATGATAATGATAATTCAGAAACACATAGAAAAATGTGAAGTCATGAGTGTGCGGTGTAAGCTACTTATGTCGACAAACATAAGTAGTGCATAACACTAATCGGAAGTGGAAAACCTGACCGAAGAAGGCTAAGAAGATCGAACTGAAAAGAACAGAAGAGAAACTAGAAAAGAATTGTGAACTGGAAGAATCATACAAAATGTGAAGAATAAATAATGAAAGATTTCCAAATGAAGTTTCCAGTTTATAATGGAGTTTTTTTTCTCTGAGCTGCATGGTTTGATCGTTCAGCTCTCATCATTCTTCTGAACAACATCAGCAGCACAAATTTCAGGTAGAAGTCTGATGATGTCGTTCAGAAGAACGACGAAAGCTCCATGACCAAATCATCCAAATGAGCTACAAATATTCTCCACCATCACAAAGTATCCAGTGTATGATTCACCATGAACTTCTCTAATTTATTGTTCAAATATAAATAGTAATCTCCGCTTGTGTTCCCGTTTACTACCATTACACCTAAATATTAGACAATAATTGTTTTGTCGCCCTCTGAACATAAGTTTCATCAATGGTGGTAATTATATGTATATATATATCTCTCTCAAAAGAAAAAACACTTTATCTAGATAACCGATGTCAATTAAACGACTAATGGTTGTCTAATATAAAAATTACTATCTGTATTATAATTCAAATGAAGTCAATCAATTGATTCGGTAGTAGGAAAAGCATTTCCAGATGAAATATTTTAACTTTGATAGTAACAGCGGTGTTTTTCTCTCCCTCTCTCTCTCTCCGTGTGTGTGTGTGTATAGACCAGAATTGTTACCGATGCAAAGACCGATGTTAGTTCATTGCGACAAATTTTTGACAAGTTTTATTCCCCAAATTTTCCGCTTATCAATTTTGAAAATAGAAAAAGAGAAAAAAAACGAGGTTGACTATTTGAAAACTTTCTCCCTCCTATTCCAAACAAACAATTGCAAGTTATGATTTAATCTTTCAGAACTATTCTCTTAGTGATAAAATTGTTGTCAAAATAATGTTGAAAAGGTATTAGTAACTATGAAAATTGAGAAAAATTTTTGTGTGTGGAAATTTCGATTAGTTTAAATAGCATTAGAATAATTAGTTATAGAATAGGGAAATCATTTAAGACTTAAGGGATATTCTCTAATAAATTAGTTTATGCCCATTTGGTATTGTTTTACTTGTATCCTCCTATTGATGTTTTAGAACTGCAATTGATCAGTCTCTCTTATAGGCATATATGGATACTGTGTGGATTGTCTTAATTCATAAGTCCCCAAATAGGATCACATTGCTAACCACTATCTATCTTTGCTTAAAATGCTTGTGAACTAAGGCAATATCAAAGGAATCCATACAGTATGCACATATGCCAATAAGAGACTGATCAATTTCAGTCCAAAAACATCAATGGGAAGATTCAGGTAAAACAATACCAAGTGAATTTAAACTTCACCCCATTACACAAACAAGCGACTATCAGGACTCAGTAGTAGTTAAGTGGATAATGTGATAGCGTTTGAAGCGAATGGTAATGGGTCAGAGTTCCGGATTGAATATCAACTGTGAGATGCAGGTACATCTATCTGATGAGCCCCAAATAGGACGAAACTGGCTTTCTGGTTTCAACTGTTAGCCACTATTCATCTTTGCTTATAAGATTAGACTATAGTTTAACAATTAAGTTGAAACCTTACTGTCAAACCATTATTATCCAAACATACTTAGCTTCCTCTGTTAAAGTCATAGTTTACTCCTAGTTTGAATGAGTCAACAGATTAAAGAAGTAACCTTATTAACTCCAAAGTACTCTAAATAAAGTTATTAATATTTCAAAGTAGAAGAATAGGAGACAGTGAAATCAAATAGT